CGTCCAGACTCTGAGGAAGGCGAAGTCGCCGAAACGTCAGCCATCGATCAATAACATCAAAAACAACGACAACGACAACGACAACGAAGATCTGTACCAACCTCGCGTCAGTTTAAGAAGATCAGTTTATAAGATCTCATAAATAAATATATCAACTATTTATGCCGAGGTTCATAGAAAGTCGGTCTTTCGAGTTATACTGAACGTAACGACAACGTTGCTGAGATATTTGCAAAACTCTGGACCGCAGGTGTCTATGGTGGGGAACGAACGCGTTATTATCCTTCCCGGGGAGTAACGCGTTCACCACCACACCATGCGGGTCCTTCGTTTCGCCTATCTCTCAGCTATTTCTATCGATCTTTGCCACAGCAATCACCCTCCAGCGGGATTGATCTGGGACGGCCCTGAATATATGTTGCAAAACCAACAACCAACACTCGATATTACGGTAGTTGAATAATGCATAGAATTCTTCCTACCACATATAAGAATTAATGTTTCAAAAACATGGACATCTGACCACATACGTTGAGTTTAATGCACACAGCAGGCGGCAAGGATAGTGGTTCCACATGATCGACACACAGAATTTGGCGCGGTTGCAAAGGCAACACCGAAAACGGCGCGAGTACATGTCTATAGCATGAGTTGTGGTTTAACCCGTTTATTGAAGACAAAGGAGTATTTGTGTTTAATGAAGCAAAAATTACCGTTTTCAGTGTCTTGATAGCATATTCTGCAAACCTCTGAATTCACACAACCTTTTGCTGCGCATGTTCTGAAACGCTGGATCACCTGTAACACCTGTAGTCCCGTTGATCGTCGAGTGACTCAAGCGGGTGCCAGTAAATCTTCCATTTTTCCCTGTCGCGTGCAAGAGTAGCCCAGTGGGTTCTGCTCGCTCTAGGGATTCGTCAAGCATCACATCTTTCTTCTAGGCTTTTCGTGAAGAACTCTGACCATCGGGTCGGTGGTCTTCCTGCAGTATGTTTGACATCCCAGGAATCCAGTCACTAACGGCTCTTGTCCATTGGTTGTCATTCATACGCATTACGTGTCCGGCCCACCTTATCTTCAACTGTTTGACGTAAAGAACGGCACCTTTGATTTTTGATCGTTGACGCAGGTCGGAGCATCGGATCCCTTCCCTTGGATGTGCGTGTTAATTCGTCATCACATGGTGGAGATATCACATATGCAAGTTTTCTTTCCTTAGGTTACACAAACTCTTCAACTAATTTTTACAGTTTTCTCAACGGTTTACTGCATCATCGCGGCTGGAAGGTGTTCATGGGCGTCGGTTTGTGCCGTGCAGCATAAGTTAATCCTCCTAACATGACCAACCAAGCTGAGAAAGAGTCCGACATTTCCATCTGGAAGCCCAACCAACAGTAAATCAACACCGGGAATCACCACTGTCCTGATATCAAACTAGTCGCATGGTGCCAAATATCCCTCTGATGTAAAATGGTTACTACTGCTTGGGTGGTGATGACATGAGAAACGCTTTGGCTAGGCTGACCTCGGGAGTCCAGAGAACCACAGTGGTTAAACCAACATATCTCTGGGAAGTGGAACTTATGCTGGGACGCGCACAACGAGTTTACACGACCCATCCCAGTATCCAACTAAGTGATTACTATGGTACGACATCTAGTAGATTTTCATCACTTCCTTTTTCCATGCGGGACAGTTTCTACTTAGTGAACTAGTTTTCTTATAGTAAACTACGCTCATTATTGCAAATGAGGCCGAATATTGCACTCTGATATGAACCATACCTGCTTTTAAATTAAGCCTTTCGACAGTCGCTTTGTTAAGAAAGTCCGTTTTATTAGCGAAGTATTTTGACAACACATAACCAGTTATGGACTTCACAGGTACAGCATACTAAACTGAACTTGTTTAGTTGATCTGAATATCGAAGACCAGAATCCTATCACATATTTAAAATCAATACTTGCATAATGATTCAAAAAAAAAACTCCATCCCTCCTAAAAATAGCGTTGAGAAGCCAAATATTCTAAGAACATTCAAAGTCTTACTTGATTTGAAATGTCATTCAAAGCAAGCGTGAAAAACCTCCGAATAAATTTTGCCATAAACCTTAATAAACCAATAAAAACAATGGAACAGTGAGGCTAAAAACAAATATTAAGTTGTTAAAATCTTGTAACAACGTGAAAATGAACAAATGTAAAGCTACAACATCTATTATAACGAAAAAAAAAGGAATAAAAGGCACGAAAAATATGAAAAAAGAACCCAGCTTACCATTTCTTCCGCAACCCAACTAACATAGATGATATCGAAAGGAAATTATATAATACAGAAGAATAATGAAAAAAGTGCTCTACAAACAGACAGGAAAATACCACTCGTTAACGTTCACCTAAGTTAAACAGCGTATTTCCTCGACGATGACGATGATGACCACGGGAACCTAAACAAGGAAAACTATTGAAATGTCACAAATATATCCAATTGTTCGGGACCATTAAAACTTTCCCTGCAATAAGGACTTAAGGGATAAGGAAAGATCTCTACATATTCTAAGAAGAATGACCAGAAAGAGCTCAAACATTCATTGTGGACAGTACAAATAAGTATATGAACAAAGAAACAACACTTTCGTTTTTGATGAAAAAATATTTCAGCGGACGTACTACACGGGACAGAAATTATAAAGAAACTACTATGTGATCACAAATTCTTTAAATATCACATATGAGCACCCAAAGAGGAACAGAAGTTAATGGGGAAATGTGCTGGTAGAAAACAACAGTATGCATGATAAAAATAGTTAATTTAGAGTAAGTGCCAAGAAGTACTTCGTCAAGAATAAAACCCAATTGATAAAAAACAGAATGACCGAAAAGCTAAGCACATTGATCTCCTAAATCTGGATTTGGAGCAGTTATGGACCGACAAAAGACAAATTCGGACTAAGCCAAATTGGCTTTCACACGGATAGCATAAAAGAGAACCATTTGGAATCATAGAGAAGCCAATTTGGCAAGGTCTAGGCAATAGCTGAACAGATCTACGATAATCCTAAGTTTGACAAACATTACCGAACGGAACTCACTTGACGGCTGCTTGGTAACACCGGTAGTTTCGTGTAATTGAAAGCAGACCGAAATCTCCGCAATGTTTGTCAAATATTAACAACGAAATATAAACAGAAGGAACAGAAGAGAAGACAAAATTCACATTTTAAAGTCGCTATGGTAGTAGAACGTCTTCCAGAATTTGGATCGATTCCTTCGATATTTCCAGTAGGCGAACACGATCACAAGCCCGATTATCGATAACCAAATAAGGTAAAGTTGAGTTCTACCTTTGTACGTGAGAGATTCTGGAAAAATGAATCAATGGCATCAATGAATGAAACTGTGCATACAGATATTAGATGAAGTCAGAACAAATGATGACCTTCTATATCTCTCCAATCTCTCCGAGGACTCGCATCCAGTTCTTTCCGTAGTCGCTCCTCCGCTTCTTCCAGTTTGTTCATCTGTTGTATAATTTATTGCGTAGAAACAAATGACAAAGTAATAACTTTTTATTTACTGCCTATTCTTTTTTTATGGCAAGGTGTGACGTGAAACATAACCACAATGATGCTGAGATATAACTACTATAATGCTGAGATATTTGCAAAACACCGGACCGCAAGTGTCTGCGATGGGGAACGAACGCGCTATTGTCCTTTCCAGGAAGTAACGCCTTCCCGTTGACAGGTGATTGCTGATGGCAAAAGATCGATAGAACTAGATGAGAGACAGGCGAAACGAAGGACCCGCGTGGTGTGGTGGTGAACGCGTTACTCCCTGGAAAGGACAACAGCGCGTTCATTCCCACCGCAGACACCTGCGGTCCGGAGTTTTGCAAATATCTCAGCAGCATAGAAGTTATGTTTGCAAAATACCCTGCTGTTTAAAAAAAGGAATAGGCAGTAAATAAAAAAGGTTAAGATGCTGAGATATTTGCAAAATTTCGCTATTGCCGTTTCCGGGGACCAACGTGTTCACCATTACACCATGCAGACCCTTCGTTTCACCTTTCTCTCAGCCGTGTTTTATTGGGGCTACCAGAAATCATCCATCAACGCGATGGATCTGGGGAGCGCAAATCGGCACTGATCCCAGTTAATCTGAAGCTGTATCATAAATGACTATGTAATCACTTTTTATTTACTGCCTATTATTCCTTACGTTAGCCCATGGAAAGGGTGATATCGGGTTCGATGATCACCACAGACACCTGAGATTTAGGGTTTTGCAAATGTCTCAGCGTCATTATGGTTATATTTCACAAATGACAAAATTGGTTGGTTTGCCTTCTCAATCTCATTAAGATGTGTCACTACAAGATTCCATGTGACGTCTCTAATTATGTAATACTCGACTTTTAACAGCAACGTTTAGGTATCCCATTGCCCACTTTCTTCAGTATAAGAGCAAAAAGTACGAATCGTACCTTATCAGTATGCACGGCGAACTTCGGATTCAAGTGCCGGAGACCGGTGGCTCGAAGATTTCCGCCTTGATATTCGTTAATTTTGTATTCTGGAGCAACCTGGTAAATGAAAAATATGTTTTTAAGTGAAGAGGATAACACTGTCGTTCACATACTATTTAGTGTACATTTTTCTTCATTATTTGACTCCGAATAAACATATGTTCTAAAGGCCTTAACGGTTAAACAATCCAAATGAGCTGGATAATTACCAGGCTTGAGTCTTGTCGGATATTTCCATAGTATGTTCGTAGAAAGTACAAAACTTGAGTCTCGTCAAATGCACCACTGACGTCGTAGCATTGCGCACAGAGAACCTTATAATGAAGAAGATTTCCAAAAACATTGTTTCTAACAGTGTCAAAAAGTAAAAAAAAAACAGAAAATCGCTCATAAAAAGCAATAGAAGGCTCGGAAATAAGACTTACGGGTGGAGGAAACTGTCGCTTAGGGAACAACGGATCATCGCTGAGTGCTCCAGACAGACGCTTATTTACAAAGTTATGAACCCGCCAAAACCACATCACCATTTCATCTGAGATATTTGATTATGAAAAAGAAAAAAAAACTACAAGGTGAAATAGAATTATTGCAGACCTCGAGTGGAAACTTCCGCCAGCTTGTGTTTTTCAGCTTCCTTATCGAAATTCTTGGCACATTCGCCACAACTTAAGAAGTGGGAAATAAATTTGTGAAAAGGTTCCATCACTTCACTGAGCGGATTAAAGCTAGGATCTGAAAACTCGACATAAATGTGCAAAAAAAATTTTTTGGAAGAGAACGAAGAAAATGGTATACTCTTTCTTAGTTTTCTATGTGAATGGAGTAACAACAATGCGACTCTAGGAACTCACTATTTGCCTCAATTTTGTAGGCTTCGACGGAAATAACATGGGCCAGCGTCCATAACCCACATGTGTAGCCTCGAAGGTTGGGCTTTGAGCCAGCACAAGCTAGCCACTGTATTTTTTTAGAGAGCGGATTTCCAAGATCAAGCTGAAAATTCGAGATTCTTGCTCAATATACTTTCGAACAGCCGTAATTCTTTGTAGCATGTACCGGCCTAAAGAAAAGCTCCTCGAACCTCGTAAACGACAGAGCTATTCTCCTTGTAAACTAGGCTATCTTTTTACATGATGTCACATGCAACTCCACGTAAAAATAATCGTATGAAATATACGAGGCCTTCATACTTGAAATATATTTGCGTCTTCTACTTCTGATTAAAATTCATTGACCATCTGCATAATGCAGAAATGGCAATCCACGCCTAATTTATCGCCGCACAGTGTATGTATTGAACTCAACGCCTATGGTCAGTTCGGTCTTCTCCTCCATATCATTTTCGCCTTTCCGCTCCGTAATTCGGTCTTTCCACTTAATGCCATATTTTTCGAATATTCTACAAACACTCCATGCTTTTCTATGTACGTTTTCGTGTTTTTGGAATATTCCTGACTTTTACGTACGACGGAAATCGCTCACAACCAGTTCAATAACGACGCTGTCAAGCTTTGGCAACCAGTTTTGCCATAGATGTTAGGTGAAAATCGGCGTATTTACATGTTTTTTCTTATCTAACTATGCTTCAGCACGATGGCGTTGAAAACGTACAGTGTTCACAAGGACACACGGTAGTAGACGTATAACAGTACACTGTGGGGAGTAGTAAAAGGAAGCTCGGACTCCGTATTTTCGCAATGGAATAACTTACCACTCCCTCATTAGAAACACTCTCCTACACCATATCCTATATTGGTTGCCTCCTCGCTAAAAACAGTTTCGTCACCTGACGAAGAAACCCTTCGAAAAACGTTTTATAAGTTATTAAGTCGAGAATGTAACTTTTCTCGCAATACACGTGGCATGAAATCTAATAGGCAATCTGTCGATTGAATATGTAAACTATAGGAAAGAATTTGTGACGAAAAATGGAATAGGCAGTAGCCTGAAGAAAATCCACCGAACAGAACAATATAGGACGGCGGAAATCTAAGCACACTGCGCACAGTGTGTTTAAAAAAATGATCAAAAGAAAAACGAAACACTTACTTGAATCTCTTCTAGCTTTCCATTCCAGTCGTCTACTGCTAGCTTTCCGTCAACTCGTTGAAGCCATTCATTAAGTCTGTATAGAAGTCTCCGCATTGGGGTGGTACCAGGTGTATACTAAAAAAAGTGTTATCACAAAAAAGAACAATAGCAACAATAAGGATTAGAACTAGCCTTCGAAAGCGTGCTCATCCACTGTTTCAGCGTCACCAAATTCTCTCCATTAATAATTTCACGACGAGCAATTTCCTAAGCACCAAAAAGTTGTTTGAACAAAATACTTTTCATTAAGTTTAAATACCTTGAACAGCATGTAACTGAGCGTGCTCTTCAGGTCAACAAGTTGGACTTGGTACTGGGTTGTGTTTCCAAGAGACACAGATGCCGGAACTTGAGATTTGACGGGAACCGTCTGAAACATAAGCATTGGAATAACAACAAAATAAACTATGGAAACAGGAAATCAACCTTTTCTAGAATTGAAGTGATTGGAGCGGTTACAAAAATCACGCCATCTATGTAATGTTGTATGTCCCTCCAGTTGGCTCCTATTCTAAAAATCATATCATAATAATTTTTTAAAGCACAACCTTTAGCGAATTCCGCTGATAAAGTTTTTCACACTCTTCTTCTCTAATTATATTAAAGAATGAAGGTAAAAAGATAGTAGAAGAAAACTCATCACATTTTTATAAAATGCAAAACATCAGTCATACAAGAAGACATCAGGAAGGTGGGGAAAATAATGAGCGCCTTGCAAAAGAACGAATAGCTGGTTCGTCATCAGTCCGTAAACCAACCTGGTCCAGAATTTTGTCAGGATCGACTAGTCCGTAGAATACATACCTGCTTTCGATTGAGAAGATATAATGGCCCATGTTCAAGAGTCGTATTTTATGATATATTGGAAGCATTCAAGTTTGCATTGATCTGCTCAACCTTACGAGTGTCGGTCCGTAGTGCTCATAAAAATATAGAGCTTTCGACAACAGAATGCTTGAAAACAATCTCCAATTCATCTTTTCGTCTATCGATCCTTTTTGCATCACAAGGAAAATCGCTATCTATTGTATGATGACGATAAACAACTGGCAGATATGCTTCCGTTACCACAAAGAACCTTTACGGTGCAGTGATGATGTGAGACCGCCTATGCAAGGCAGATCCTCTTGTTGGTCAAGAAGCCCTGGGAGTGGGATGGTTCCTGTTCAGCATTCCAGGTTTCTCCACAATACAAACTGCACATTAACTAAAGGTGAGACGGTAGTCTTCCATCCAGCATACTCGAGCAGTCAAAGGCTCCAAGGTTTGTGATATGCATATAATAACCACATCAGTTATTTTTATTTCATTTCATTTATTTATGTGATCTTATAAACTGATCTTCTTAAGCTGACGCGAGGTTAGTATAGATCTACGTTGTCGTTGTCTTTGTTTTTGATGTTATTGATCGATAGCAGACGTTTCGGCGACATCGCCTTCCTCAGAGCCTGGACATATTTAATTTAGAATGTTTTTATTATTCGGTGGAAAAGAAGGTTAAAGTATTAACGAAGATCAAACTTTCATATAGACGCCATATTGAACAGAAAGGCCACTCATCGTAATGTTACGTTCGGGACTGGCCCACACGTACTTCACGTGGAGTCGCGAGCAAGACACGCCCCGTGGTCAAAATATCATTTTGAAATAGCCAGGTCACGCGTGATAGTGAGGCATTCGTCCTTCCGGTTCATCTTTAGATTTTTGAAATTTATCTAAAACGGGTCAGGAGTTTTGCGCGTTGATTCCTGTTTTTGATTCCTGCGCTGGGATCCGCACATGCACTTCAAAATCATCGCCGTTCTGCTTTTGTGCCCTATCCGTGCCTAGAGGGGTGTTTAAACGGATTTTAGCTTTTCCATCTAGATGGTCTTTTATGCGGACACAAAGTGGTCTACCCGATTCCCCGATATAATCCTTGCCGCATGCATTACATGAGATCAAGTATATTATACCTAAACTCATGCAATCCCCGTCTCTCCCGTTAGGGCAGACCATACAGTTTTCTGAGCTGCACAAACGATCATAGAAATGGTTTCGAACTAACTGCCGGCGTAGGGTATTGGGTGGGATGTCAATAATCGTTACATAATTTTCAAGACCACTTTTTCTTAAGCACTTTTTAATGGTGTGACTTACTTCATTTGATATGAAGGGCAGCTTAAAGGGGATCCTACTTTCGTCTGAAATATTTGGGAAACTACCCAATGTTTTCCTCTAACCCGAGTGGCATCTACTTCATAGCCAATGGAAATGGCAATTTTTCGTACCAGGTTTCGCGATTCCTTCCTTTCCTCTTCTCCTGTACACACATTTTTAGCCGCACGATACATATTTTTGATAAGTGCTTTTTTCATGTGTGAAGGATGAGAGGAGAGGCAGTGAACTAGAATGTTTTTAATACTTGGCTTGCGATAGCATTTTGTTATATAGCCACTTACTGAGAGCTTTATTTGGATGTTTAGGAATGGAAGCCAGTTCTCGGTAGGTTTTTCTCGTGTAAATTTTATATACTCTGACTGTCGGTTTAATAATTCAAAGCACTCATCCATCTGTTCTTGTGTGGAGCAGACGATGAAGCAGTCGTCTATGTATCGACAGCAGAGTAAGGGTCGGCGATCGAGAACTGGAGCTTCGCAATTCAAAAATTCAAAATCTGTTAGACTTTCTATTAGTGATAAAGGCCGAGAATTTGTAGTTCTTCCTAGTCAGTTGGATATTAGGATAACAGAGGAGCACCTCAGTGATGTTTCTCTCTATCGAACATGCTCTAAAAAGGAACACAGAAATCAATACCGAAAACTGAATCAAGAATGGGTCAGCATGGCAAAGGCCGCAGGTTTAGAGCCTTCAGTTATTTCTCGACTTAAAAACGAACACCCGATTTTCCTTGTCCTTTACTTGCCTATTAAAACACGTAGGCTTACTTCAGCTGATGATATTACGTCAACGAACCCATCATCATATAAAGTTAGACCTATCATCAGTTGTATAGGTGGGCCAACGGATAGAATAACGTGGTTCCTAAACCTTATCCTAACCCAGCTGCTAAAATTCATTCCAACCCATCTACCTAACACCAAAATATTTCTGGATCATCTAAGGCGCGCACAACCAAACAGCACGCGTACAATGGAGTCATTTGATGTTACATCACTTTATACCAACGTGTCCAATGACTCCACAATGCAAGCCATGCTCGAGTTGCTCGTAGAGCATGAAAAGAAAATAAAAATGCACGGCTTGTCGATTGCGCAACTAATGACTCTCTTAAAACAGCGTCTTAGTTGTTCAATCATTAGGTGGTCTGGAAAATATTTTGCACCTATTAGAGGGTTGGCGAAGGGGTAGCGTTTAGCACCAAGCCTTGCCATCGCTTTCATGTCTAAGGTGGAAGCTCCAGTTCTCGATCACCGACCCTTACGCTACAGTCGATACATAGACGACAGCTTCATCGTCTGTTCCACACAAGAACAGATGGATGAGTGCTTTGAATTGATAAACCGACAGTCAGAGTATATAAAATTTACACGAGAAAAACCTACCGAGAACTGGCTTCCATTCCTAAACATCCAAATAAAGCTCTCAGTAAGTGGCTATGTAACAAAATGGTATCGCAAGCCAAGTAGTAAAAACATTCTAGTTCACTGCCTCTCCTCTCATCCTTCACACATGAAAAAAGCACTTATCAAAAATATGTATCGTGCGGCTAAAAATGTGTGTACAGGAGAAGAGGAAAGGAAAGAATCGCGAAACCTGGTACGAAAAATTGCCATTTCCATTGGCTATGAAGTAGAAGCCACTCGGGTTAGAGGAAAACGTTGGGTAGTTTCCCAAAATAATATTTCAGACGAAAGTAGGATCCCCTTGAAGCTACTCTTCATATCAAATGAAGTAAGTCACACCATTAAAAAAGGCCTAAGAAAAAGTGGTCTTGAAAATTATGTAACGATTATTGACATCCCACCCAATACCCTACGCCGCCAGTTAGTTCGAAACCATCTCTATGATCGTTTGTGCAGCTCAGAAAACTGTATGGTCTGCACTAACGGGAGAGACGGGGATTGCATGAGTTTAGGTATAATATTTGATCTCATGTAACGCATGCAGCGAGGAATATATTGGGGAAACGGGTAGACCACTTTGTGTCCGCATAAAAGAACATCTAGATGGAAAAGCTAAAATGCGTCTAAACACTCCTCTGGGTGCACATAGGGCACAAGATCACAACGGCGATGATTTTGAAGAAAAACATCAACGCGCAAAACTCCTGAGGCGTTTTGGATAAATTTCAAAAATCTAAAGATGAACCGGAAGGACGAATGCCTCACTATCACGCGTGACCTGGCTATTTCAAAATGATATTTTGACCACGTGGCGTGTTTTGCTCGCGACTCCACGTGAACTACGTGTGGGCCAGTCCCGAACGTGACATCACGGTGAGTGGCCTTTCTGTTCAATATGGCGTCTATTTTAAAGTCTGATCTCCGAAACGTCAGCCATCGATCAATAACATCAAAAACAACGACAACGATAACGAAGATCTATGCCAACCTCGCGTCAGCTTAAGAAGATCAGTTTATAAGATCACATAAATAAATATATCAACTATCTATGCCGAGGTTTATAGAAAGTCGGTTTTTCGAGTTATTTTATTTTACATCACCCGTCTTCACATACACTTCACAGAACCCAGTACTTCTTGCATTTGAGTCGTTCCTTCGCATTCATCACCCCCACTGAAGTCTCCGAACTATTAGCGTGTCGCATCGGCTGCTGTTTGAGGATTTTCTTCTTCTTTATGGACATTGTTCAATGTCGGTCAAGTCCATTTCCCTAGAGTCCTAAGACAACCAGGCCAGAGAGTTTCACTCGGAGGGAGAGAGTGAGCCGATACCAGACAAATTTGGCACCAGTTTCCCGACCACGAACATACTATGATGACCATAAAATGTGCAAAATGATAAAAGCGAAGACCAGGTAAGGCACCCAAAAATTGGTAGAGTTCTGATGACATTCTCGAATTTCATTTTCTTTCTTTCTTTTCCTCTCCTTTCCTATCCCTTTGTTTTTATCTTTTCTTATAAAAGATATACCACTGTGCGGACATACCGCAGAATCGCCACTCTCCAGTGATGATGTAGGAATCTGGATGTTGTAGGACGGAATCTGATTGGATAAAATCATTCCGGCTGCGTCCACCACATCTCATTGTCCGAGGCAATTCACAATCCACTGTTTACTTCACCAGTCACTGCTAGGCGAATTAATAAAAAGACGCGGAGTTAACACTGTACTTGCTCAACGAGATTATACTTCATCATTAGTTTTACTACGAATGCACTTTTCGGTCTTCGTTCGACGGAAATCGATCCGACGGTTTCGGCTAATCTATGGTCGACATAATAAAATGGCGAGGCACCTCACCTAATCCGTCAGTGCAGCCAAATTCAAAACTTTTATAACCTTGTCAGCGGTTGGTTAGCATGCACAAGACATATCGGACAGTGAGAAATAAATAAATTTTGAAGGAAATTTTGGATACGGTCAAATACCTCAGTCACAAGTAACCCTCTTTCTAAAGTGTCTTTACTTGAAAATAATAAGAAATTACGATTTTTGCTCAATCCTAAACGTATAATGTGGCAACCTTAGGACTAGAACAATGAAATACAGAGGTTACTTCCCAAATTCATCCTGAAGGTCTGTGGAATACAGGATATATTCAAGTGAAGGAAGAATATAATCACAGTCATATTATTAAGGATACTCCTCAAATTCTGAAATAGGAAAAAAGTAGTCGTATTAAACAAAAGGTGGATGAAAATAGAAATTAAATGAATTTAGAAGCACGTGAGTTGGGAGGAAATATAAGTACAACAGGCAAAAAAAAATTAACGTCAATCAATGTCAGAAAACAAACGTACGGACTAGTCCAAACCGCAGCTGTTTCGCCTCGCTTGAAGAGCAGGAATCGATTCTCGGCTTCTTGTTCCAAATGCTGGAAAACCTCCGGATGTTGAGGACGTGCCACAACGATCCGTATATTTCTATCGTTGTAGAAGTTGATGATTAGCTTAAAATGGAACATAAACCTCATAGAATAACGATTTCTATACAATGACCTCTATTTTAACATTCTGATCAGAGTATATTAAGGCGAACTGAACGTATTCACAAAAGTCCCATCGGGCCCCTAAGCTACTTTTTGAGGGCAACCTCGCAGAGACTTACCATTAGCTCCATGCTTTTAACTAACCTGACGTTCAGGACGCGATACCCATATCGGCAAGCGCACCTATGTACACAGGCTCGGATTTTTTATTTGTACATACGGAGATATGTCAATTCAATGCAACAGAAACTGAGCGGCTAACCCTGAATATACTGCCATTCCAATGCAACCACATAGCCGCTTTCAACCCACGTCTCATTGCAAGACACCACATGAAAACGTATTACGAGGACCGGGAAAAACAAGAACCTAGTCTAGTCGAGGTTCTCCATGTTTGTAGAAGATCAGTGGAGGTCAGTTCAATTTATCCTCATGTAATTTTTAACTATAATGTCCATTAACTTGGCAACCGTCAAGTGACTTGAACCAGCACCAGTACTCTCACGAGTACTATTCGTTCCCTGGCGTTAAAGACAATCTGTTGAGATATTTGCAAAACTTCGGACCGCAGGTGCATGCGGTGGGAAACGAACGCGCTATTGTCCTTCCCGGGGAGTAACGCGTTCACCACCACACCATGCAGGCCCCTTCTTTTCGCCTGTCTCTCAGTTAGTTCTATCGATCTTTGCCACAGCAATCACAATAGCGCGTTCGTTCCCCACCGCAGACACCTGCAGTCCGAAGTTTTGCAAATATCTCAGCATCATTGAACTTATATGTCGCAATATACCCTGCCATTAAAAAAAAGAGTAGGCAGTAAATAATAAGTTGAAACAATCTGTTGAGTTCACTAGCTCAACGCACATAAAGACTATGATATTTTTAGTACAATCCACTTTACTTTCACTGTTCTCAGCAATGGGAAAAAGAAAATCGAGAAAGAGAAAACTGGGAGGAACATAAAGAAAATCCTCGGAAAGAAACGAAGATTAATTGACCACGGTAGGTGCCTTGCCAGCGTCACCGTATTCGAAGCAGACTACCACCATGGATGAGGATTGAGCCAGATAGAAACGGATGGTAAATGCTCCGATGCTTGCGATACTCGTGAAGACGGTCAGTCCAAGGACCTAAGCAAATTATATGCAAAAATGTAGCTACGAGTAGTGAGGTCCACCGTGATAATGGTATATGGCTTACTGTATTTCTAAAAAATTCCAAATTTCTTATCAGCTTAGGCGACCTTATTGCAATATGAACCCTCTGTTGTACATTGAAGTTCAACACCGGTGAATACTTTAACCAAGATGAGGCGTTAAAGTGCTGTGAGTGGAAGTGAAATAGGGAAGATATTGGCTTATACATCTCAGAAGTAGTCGCAAAAAATGCGTATAAACACCAGAAATCAGATAAGTATTACTGACCACCTCCAAACTTTGGCACTTAGAAATGTGGAAATGCATATTAACCGCCAGGAAATATAAATTCGCCTCCATGACATTCGCTTAAAAGAGTAGAACTAAGGATTGTTAGAAGCTTAACAAAAATTATGAGGGCACCTGTCAGAATTTTCAAAGTTTAAACTAAGTTAATGTTAATATATTCGTGACCGTAGTGGTTTTTCAACAAGTAACAATAAATTTTGGACAATTCAAATGTGTTAGGAAGATGGTAAACTAATAGAACGGATTTTGCTTCATCATTCTAAACAAGTATGCAAATTGTCCTAAATGTGCTTAAACTTTAAATCCCCAACGACTTGGGAATTCAGCTTAGAATTTTTAACACAGATACGGTAACTGGTGGCATTTGTGACAGATCCAGAGATACTTCTGCGTTCTAGTGGACAAAATTCTAAACTATTTCAATCGCATCTATGTTTGAAATATGTCGCTGTAAGATAATGGAAAAAAGCGTATTTTGGTCTAAAGCAAATCTGAATTTTAGCACTCTGGCATCAGAAAATGATCTGTATCTCGCTAGAAATAATCTATAGATGTAGTCATTTCCATGTCAATCAATCACGGTATTTATTAATAGAGTCATGTTTTTCGAAAGTTTAATTATTACAAGCAAGTACAATTTGCAATTTAAGGTACAATTACTTTTGGGCAGGAGCAGATAGCATAGTGGTAGTGATGCTCCATCATTACGAGCACGGCGTTGATTCGATAGCGCTCTGGGCATATGAAGCCTGTCATCCCCACGGCGTCGGGGAACTGGTGTCGGACATTGTCCAGGGGGAGAAAATCCCTCTCTGCACTCTTTTGGAACGCTCTAGACCGGCAATATAAGAACTCCAGGGAAAATTGAGTCGACCAGCATTCAACGACATTCAAGATGAAACGAAAACCCTCATTCAGCATCCGAAGCCATACGTAAAAGCTGGAAGACCTTCGTAGGTGAAAACGGCGAGGATAGGAATCGAATGTGAGAAGTGCTGGGATCAGCACAACAGATGTGACCAAGAAAAAACTTTTGGGCACGTATTCAATCAATAAATACGGTGATGAATATATAGGTCAAAATGAAATAAACACAAAAGGAAAGTAAAACTATTAATATAAGCTAAAGTTCATGTCAACTTGGTGGTGAAAACTACGATAAACGTTAGTAGACAAGCTCCTTCTATTAATTTCAAAATTCTATGTAGTATAAAAGTGATCTTCACCTTAATGCCGGTATGCCCTATATTTATTAGCAACTGAAACATTACCTGTTGGGTGGACGAACCTCCAATTAAGTAGGAAAAACCTTAGGAAGTAATTCACTCATAATCAAGACTCACCGCCCATGCCATCGTAGAAGGATCCTCCTGAACTGCAATTCCGACGAAATTTGCTGGACCAGCAGATTCCCATATGCTCGTAAAACTATCCGAACTGTAAATGATATAACATCAGAGATAAATACAAACTGAATAATGGGAAAACTGATAAAGCAGCCAATGTTTGGGAATGAGTACCTCTTGATTGAGTGGAATATCTTCCTTAAGTGATGTTGCTGGTTTTCGAAATCCGCTTGGACGAGCCCAGCTACATCCAGCTCCATTTTATCTACGTCGTATTTATTTCCCTCGTACAATACGCCATCCTTTCTGTTTGATGCATGATGTTTAAAGTACTGAAAAAGTACAGGAATCATTTCAACATACACTGGCAGAATCAGGATCCTTAAACTAAAAGCTCCAAAAACTCGTACTTAATAAACAAGCAGCGGTGAAAAGACGAATAAGTGGAAGAAGAGAAAAAGTAATGGAAAGAACTCACTTTAATAGTGGGGAATGCATTTACTGAATGATCGCGACACAATGGTAGATTGAAATCATCCGCACAATCGACCACGGTGACTTCCACAAAGGGCTTCCATAACATCAAATGTCTTAAAAAGAAAACATTTAAACCCCTTAAATGAATCATTCGTAGAAAACTTTGTTTCAATAGCTTTTCAATAGGCCGGCTACGCATACGCTTCCTATCATCTTCCCAATCTACTTGGATAGTCTTATGGTCACATGGCCCATTTCTAAAAAGGAGAAAGCTCCAGAACAATTCTTATACGATTGGTATTTCGCTGATCGAATAACAGCCGTCTCTTTGAACCAACAGGTTGCCTACCATGACGTTGTCAAGTCGTCAAGGATGACATACTTTTCTGAAGACATCGCCAATGGAAGTAGCTTTCACTCAAGAACCCGAAGAACATTGCGACCGGGCTTTTTCCAGGATTACAGATCCTCAGTGGAGCTCCATAACATGTTCTCAAGAAAATAATGCCGTACTACTTCCCAACTTGGATAGCCCTACAGTGGAGGAATCCTTCCTTAGATAAAGTCCCAAAATCCTAAAGCGCAGTCAGCAATGTGATGTCGAAAAGTGCTGATATCTCCTTCATACGAATTCATCATATCACCAATGTAACCTACTTTACAACTTACTTATTAACCTACTTAAATAATTTGCTATTTAAGGTAAGAAGGATTTCTGAAGTAAAATATCGACATCAGACTCTCATACCTGGCAAAACTCTTGAAAGTTGGAGCATACGCGATACATGCACCACACCAACTCGAGTAAAACTCAACAAAATGTGCGGTTTCCTATAGATTTTCTTGTAAAATCGTAGAAATCCTGAGATTATTTGCTGAAACGAACCATAAGAACTCCTTACCGAATTATAAACAGCTGAACTAAAGGAGCTAGTATTCAATTCCAGAACTGAATCTCGAGGACCATAGAGTGAACTGGAGGTGATGAATCGGATTAGAACAACGAAAACCGACGATAAGAACCATCGCAATAACATCAGCAGCAACAAGAACACTTGTACTCTGTAAGTTAAACAGTAATGTTAAGGTTAATGAATAACCCTTCAGGTCAAAGCGTTTCCTATGTCCGTAATTACACCGAATCTCGTGATTCATCGGAAAATGATTCACAACTTTTTTCTTTCATCGAGAGTTTTGCGCCAAGATTTGCATCGTTTAGATCTATGGCATTTAATAGGTACAAAACTGGCTGAGAGAAATCCCAATGAGCGGCCTCAGTGGTGCAGTGGATAACACGTGAGCCAATGGCAAAGGTAGTCGCTGGTTCGATCCGGCCTGGGGTCGAAGTTTTGCAAACACCTCAGCATCATTTCACATCATACCTTGCCGAGAAAAGTAATAGTAAGCAGTAAGTAAGAAAAGTTAACATTATAGCATGTAATTCTACTTATTTGATGTTTAACATGTTTACTCCTTTTAGGAAACGATGATTACAATATGGTAAAGTTGGATCGGTTGACGTGGAACTCAAACTGTATGGTTGCTTATACTACTTGCTGATAAAAGGCAGTCGTTCACCTAGACTGCTCTTTTTCTTTCTAGTAATGACTATGCTTTGTTTCATCACCTCAACTAGTTCAACATTTCACCCAGTAATCCAGCTAACAGTAACCTCCGAAACCAGCTGAGAGCCTTGGGTGCGATCCGTTACTGTCTAGTCTTGCAGGCTATTAAAATATGCGGTATTGTAGGAAAACTGGGGAAGTTTTAGTGTTTTCGCAGCTAAATCTACCAGATGAAGCTCAAACTCAGAGATGGTCAACAGGTTTAGAGGTTAAGAGTAAAGTTATTGAGAAGGTTAAGAGTAAAGAAATCGTGAGTGAAGCAAAATAGGTGGATCGATGATACGCGAGAGACGTTCTTGTGGATGGGACCGGTTTCTCCTTGGCCCCTACTCTAGACACTGTTCGCCGAACGGATGTGTGGACAGATGGTGTGATACGGACGAGAACCGATGGTCGAATAATGTATAGCTTTTTGTTTATTACCTATAATTTTTTTTATGGCAGAGTATTATGTGAAGCACTACCTCAGTAATACTGTGGTATTCACGAAACTGAGTTTCCAGACCCCAGGCGAGACTGGGGTCTGAGTTTTGCAAATATCTCAGCATCATTGTGGTTGTATCACACATAATACACTGCCATAAAAAATTGTAATAGGTAGTAAATAAAAAGTTAACAGATAGAGTAATATTTAGTATTCGCACATATCCTTCTGACACTGTCCGCAAGACTTATAAGGTGACCAGTGTTAAGCACGCATGACGTCAGTTCATCTTGTAGTAAACTCCACAACCGGCTCTCTATTAACCCCGGCATTGATCAAATAATTCTCGGTATTCTTGTTGAGCAAACATGACATGCTACTTTATTCTTCATTCCGGTAAAGCTGACCTTTCGGCATATCACCTTCTTCACAGTTTGGAGCAGCTAACCCTAAGCCAAATTCAATAATACCGATAGAAATATGAAAATCCCTTCCCTTTCAGGCTCTAAAGAGGCCGATACTGCCGAAACGTCAGCTTAACCGGAATAAAGGATAAAGTAACACCTCGTGTTTGTTCAATAAGAATATGGAGAATTGTCTCAGCATCGTTGAGATTATGATCGAACAAGTGATCATATCAGCCCTTGACCAGGACATTCAGTTTCGAATGAGATCAATCAGGCTTCAAATCCGTGGTTTAGAGCAACTGCCTTAATCATCACTAGAAAAAATTGAAACGTAGTGAAACAAACATCTTTTCAGTGACTTCAGTGCTTACCAGTACTTTTTCTATGAAGTTGTTTACATTTAGATCAGTCCCTGAGGGATGAGCCAATTCATTCAACTTCATCAAAAGCATAGTTAGGTGAATGAAGGTATTTCTGGTCTATTATACGATGGCGAGTGGTAGCCTACCGATGCATCGAGTCAGTACTGCTACCCTTCCGGACAAGCCCTGTACCAATTTGCCGATCCCGGACGGATGGAAGGGTTGCTGACTCCGGGGCGCGAGATCAAATCAACCACCGTCTGTGCATCGCGGAGCGCCTCTAATCACGGAGCTACATGCGGGTTCCTTTTTTAAATAGATTTAAACCATTAATCCTAAACATGGTTGCCGAAACCTGTCGAACTGATTATAGGAAAAAGGAAAGTGCTTAATACAAATAGTAAGTTTCTATTCCGAGTTTTTGTACTTCAAATATTATAGGAATGTAATCGACCACCGTATGAGCCTTACCGTTTGGGTATTCTTTAGAAAGAGGGTGATAAGGCTTATCCTTGACATTACGATTTTAACGAAGGAGATGACCCTCAAAGAGTCCTTTGAGAAAACTATCGCGATCTTCGTTGAGACGTTGTCACACACTTTCCCAGCCTGTATTGCTGTTTTTGTTGTATTCCTATCACTGAGCTGAACTGAATGACGAACACCCAGTTACGGATAAATTACTTGAGATCTCTACGAAATATTTCTAGTTGGGCATTCTCAACTAACGTCGTTGGTGAGCAAAAGCTGATAACACTGCTTTTCTTCTGATGAGAAAATGCAGTGTGGACTGGCAATGGAGTGAGACAGAATTTCATGAGAGTCGATGAAATGGACAACGTATGGATGCACAATGAAGTAAATCCTCGTCACTAGTATTAGCGCTCATGGTACCAAATGAGTCATGTATAACTCACTGTCTAGGGCAAATATGCATCTAGGGACTATCACGATGCTGTGAACAGAATCGGATGCACGACGCACCCTCCAGGGGTTGATCAAGCCAAACGCTTCATTATCTATCATGTCATTAGCAACAAAACCGTCGTTAAATTGTGAGGAACGTGCCAGGATGTCTTTACTGCGCAAAGACATATTTTAAATATCTGTTTTGCCTAACGTTGAGAAAAATAATTAATGTGTCACTTCATTGATAAACTTATATGAGCTAGTTTTATTATAGCTAACATTTGGCCCCATTCCATCTGTTTATCCACAGCAGTTATTTCCTGCGATGAAGCTGCTGGAATTACAGAAACCTCATATAACCTTACCAATAAGCCAATTACCAACATATGAGAAGTTTGATTCTTTACCGACTAAATAGAACCGATAACCTTGCTGATGAACACGGTAGCTAGTACCTGTTGCAGAGCGGTGCGGTTGGCGCGAGTCACATGTGACTCACGGCGGGCTATGTATGTGTCAGGCGAAGTGTTCTCACCTAGAATAGAAATGGGACCATCTTCCATCTGCTAAATGGCAGCATTTTTTATCTTTAGTGCCTTGTAGGCAGTCTTATTCGATGTTGTATTTTGCCACAGAGGGGAACATGTGGGCCATAAGTCTAGGATATCAAAGTGGCGTTATAAAAACAATGTCTGAAGAAGTTCCAGATGCAGAGTGCCGTGAGTACATGGGTTTAGACCCAAGACTTTTTTGGTCATCTTGAATGCCGATCGAATGCGGTTTCTTCTAGAATCTCGAGATAGCCGTGCTATGGCGTTCTCAACTCGTCCTAACACAATCGCGAGCCGCTGTGCTGTGGATCAGAATGGTTTTCTTAATCAGTACTAGGCCTTTCTAATAACGGCAACGACCTCTCTGCCGTTAGAAAGCAATGTGACAACTCCGCTGAACAGAGGGAAATTTCGAAGCGTTACATGCAAAGAAATGACAACATAGGTGTATGTATTCTTTCTTGATAAGCTTACACGAGGTTGATAAATATATTTATTTTCGGCTAACGTTTCGACGTCTTCGTCTTCCTCAGAGCCGGTGATCCGAGTCGATGGTCCATGCTTGTTGTTCGCCTCGACGTTGCGTCTTCGCCTTCCTGTCGAGCCAGATCTTCCTCAGCGAGCCATCTTCTCGAATGAGGCATCCTCACTCAGTGATGCCCTTTTATACACGATGCTGATGGTGGATATATAATGACAATGTCCGGTGGTAATAACTTGTATTTCTTCCGGACATACATCACTGAACAACAAGCATGGACCATCGACTCGGATCACCGGCTCTGAGGAAGACGAAGACGTCGAAACGTTAGCCGAAAATAAATATATTTATCAACCTCGTGTAAGCTTATCAAGAAAGAATACATATTGATTAATCACACCGAGGTTTAGGGAAGGTCGGTTTCGAAACATAGGTGTAATCTTTCGAATAGGGTTCGAAAGGAAAAGAACACGTGAGCTTTAAGAGTTTGCAAAAAGTTTGCTTTTGGAACACAGGCTAAGAAGGCTTTGAGTTAGCCTGGTTACAATATACGTATTATGAAATTGTACTGCCAGTTTTTGTTGACTTCTGTGAGTTAACTCAAGAGTTTTGTAGACATTTTTTATTTTACTCGGCCCGTCATCACGTCTATGGTGCGGATCCCTGCACTTTTCAAATTCGATTAGTTCCTTCGCATTAATCATCCACGAAGGTATTCCAACATTTACTCATGCCTTCGGCTGCTGCTTAAGGATTTCTATTTCAACGTGGACGTCGTAGAGTGCTGGCCGAGTCGATTCTCCCTGGAGTCCTGAAATAGCCGAAATGGAGCGTTCTCATTTGTATCGCAGAGTGGTTTTTCCTGGACAAGTCTGGTACCAAATTCCCGACCCTGGAGATATGCGAGGCCTGGTGAGCCTGGTGCGGTATGGAACCAGCAGCGTGCTCGTGATGATCGGTATCACTACCACTATGCTATCCGCTCTCACTTTGTAGATATATCTTAACAATTTCTTGTACTCAGTATTCTGAGGTGCTTTGTTTTCTAATATTACTGAGGAAAACGATATCAAAATACTATTTCATCTAAAAGAAATTTGAAGTACCAATGAAGTAGGAATGAAGGCCGCTTAAGGTGGAGTTCGACTTCAAATGCATTGCACATGGTCCTTACTCAATACCAACTCAAAACAAATTTTGCGTGGCCGCCCCGTTGGTCGAAGCCTAATTCCATGTTGATTGCGAACAACATGTCCACCATCTAACCCGGATACCAGCGCTTAATGAACTACACCGCTTCCAAGAAGGAGTCTGACGTTTCCATGCGGAAGCCCGACTAAGAGTAAATCAATGCCAGGAATTACTATCGTTGTAGTATCAAACTATTCGCATGGTGGCAAATCTCCTAAACCAGAAGACCAGCACCTGCCTGAGGTCATGACGATCTGGGTAAGACTTGGCTGGTATCGAGACTCCAGGGAACCACAGTCGCTAAACCAACAAAACTCCGAGAACACAACCACTAAGGACGGGTCATCCAATTACCAATTATACCTTTCTATGGTTTACCTTGCGACAACATTGTTGTCACTATTTGGAAAAGTTTCGCAACTCGTATTCAGTTTATTCCGGCAATTCTTATATCCATCTGTTCCATAATTTACCACGATTCATTGTGGTTGATAATGAAATAACACTCAATTGTCAAATTTTGGACTTTGGCTCACATACGTTCTTTCGTTCTTCCAACAACTTTCGACAATTTCTCGATAACTAGAGGACTTAGGAGTTGATAACTTAACGAGATTATAGAAGAGCGCTTGATCTTTAGCTGCAAAGGGGACTTTGCTTTCAGTATTGTATACGTTACTATATACCATATTTTACTGCATATTCCACTTGTTGGAGTGAGGGCGCGTGTAGAACAGCGGTAAGAGGTATTCAGCAATACATATGGGATTGATCTCGAGCAACAAACTCACTAACCCAACCTTTCTTTCGGGACCAACAGATTGGTACCAGACTTGGCTGGGAGGTTAGCTCTGGCTCGATACATCGGTAGGCCACCGCAAGTCATTGCGAAGGTCAGATATGCATTTAACCACCTCCAACGATGCTTAATGAAGTTGGATGCATGGAGCATCCCTCAGGAATTGGTCAACGCCGACAGCTTTACTATTATTATTTATCCTACTTCTTGTTAAGTCTCCGACTTCATTCTTGTGTTTCGTATTACCATTAGTTACCATTTAGATGTAGGCTGCACATGTGAAATAGTAAATTCGTGGACTGTAAAAATTTCAGGTCAAACTTCTTTTTTGGGCAGAAAACAAGCGAAAGCTGTTGAGAATGGGAAGTGAAGAATGTTTTGTAATATGACCTGTATGGAAACATAGACAAACGACCAGTTTGCAAACACTTATCCTTTACTAGATACAAGCTGTAGTTTTTTAACCTCGAGTATACGTCTGCACTAAAACTGCATCGAGTACAGATGTAATTGCATTAGTGGTTTAACAAGTCATCTTACCTAGATGTTCCCAATGTTGAATTTCAAATGTTCAAATGGCATGTTCAGCATGTTCAGTAAACTTCACGAACAAACTCATGCGAGAAATCGTTTAAGATAAATAGCCAGCATTTGTATGTGACCCCTAAATCTATGTGGCTGACCAATCTAAATATTTGAGGACTGTTTTTTCAGCGCTCTATTTATGAGTCGGTATGGAATCATGCAGGCCCATACTGGTTTCAGATAATTTCTAGGTAACTGAAGTCACTTGAGCAGTTGAAAACTTCAGAGTATTACACAACAAACTCTAATCGAATCCTCTAAGTGTCTGCGTAACTCCCCAAAGTTTTGTTTTCTGGAGTCGAGATGCTCGAAGGACTGAGAACCGTTCTCAGGTTTCAAAGTCATAAAAGCAGCAGCAATGATGTCATACTGGACCAAACCGCCCTGGTTCATTCGCTGCGATTTTCGAAACACAACGATTGATGGAAAGAAAACTACATCTGTCGGCTACAATAAATCAGAATTTCCTCAACAATAGAATGCTACAATACCAGAATAAGGAAGCTTCTTCTTGTTCACAATGATTTGTAGATTCTCCGCTTTCATTGGGCTGAACAAAGTTCACTACGATCTGAGGTGTTTTCTCAATATTGGAGGACTGAATTATCTCTGGTCACACAGAGCCAGATTAGGGGGTGGTAAACGGTTACTGCGACTCTTTATTGTGTTTGTAAATGAGAGAGGAATCAGTTTACATTTCGAAATTTAGTTTCATAGAAGAGTACCGAAGTTCCAGTCGGATCTCCACATACCATTCGGGTCACAAGTTATGGCAAAAGGCAAATGTTTAAAGTGGCTTACTCATCCCAATTCTCTAAACAGTCCATGTCAAATACACGATCACAAAAAATGAGTCGATATTAATTCACCGCGTCCCATTTGCAACCAAAAAATCATCGGAAAAAAAAACGTTGAGGTAAATGCGGACCTCCCACTTGACCTTAGTGCGGTTGGAATCAATGCGCCACGTTTGTTATGTTTGGAATAGAATAGCATCATATGAGATGCATTCCTTCAAAGTTACACTTATATAATTTGTAAGAACGCCTCGACATCATAGACTATCGTAGCGAGCATATTCTCCATTGGTTTGTTTCTTCAATGATCGTCATATATGAAAGTTGTTGTCTTAGTACCTATTCGTAACCATGAGAATAAATCTGTAGGGAAATCTCAGCTGTGATCACCAAAGTGCCAATGTATCAAATACCGCCTGGAACATCTTCACCACGATGGTGCAGGTAACCTTAGTTGGCATACGTGCAGTTTTCATTTCTCCACTCCACAGCTGTCAACGCACCAATTTTCTCGAAGGACCAGAAAAGTACTGCTGTTTTCGACGAGAAGTCTCACACCTATGTGCTAATAGAGGATAGTCTAAGCCCTGGTTATTGGAAGTCATCAAGGATCGCGTCCGAGGTACTTCTCGACCACTTGAATGCTGGTTTTTACCCAAATCGACATCTAGGACACAATCCTAATATACGCAACCACACCGACAGACGTAAGCATGACTATGACCATATATAAACGAAAGCCTTAAATCTAATTCAAAAGCGTCTTAAGGGTAGTATAATTCTGGTCTCCTTCCGCGTTTAAATTGATGTGCACAACCTGTATATGTATCACACAGCCTCGTGCCTAACCGATTCGACATTTCTCATACTGCCAGATACGAAGAACTAAGCACAACCTCACTTTTTGTCTATGTTTCGGCATCAATGAATCAGTATTTGAATGCCAATGCGTACTGATACAAATAGTAATGGTATTCAAGCTATAATGACTTGCAAAATTTTCTTTTTCTAGTAACAACATGAATATCAAACCATAAAAGAACCAAATCATAGAAATACACATAAAACAGCGTAGAATCGCATGTGACTACCTCATATTTTTTTTACTACTAGATCTTTCAGGTTTTTCCTTCTGACTCCGACGGGTCCTCCAATGTTGAAAAGTGCCTCGCCTCTTCTTTCGTTCACGCTCTTGAATGGCCTTGAATCTAAAAAATTAACATAAACAAATACAAATAAAATCAAAATTGTAGCAGAGAATAAAACCAACACAGAACGCTCTACTGACTAAGGATGAGTGTCTACTAAAAAGTATCACAATTATGTTTCATGACATTTACAGTTCTTCATTTACAAAACCGAAACTGCATGTTTCAGACAAAATCTCAGCTTCTAAATGAATAGCACTAATCATAATAAAAACGAGCGACAATAAGAACGCTACAAGAAGTACATATAGACCAAATTTCTTTAAATTCCTTTCGTCCCTCAGGTGTATTTGAAGTCCAGCTTGATTAAGTGATGTGTGTGTGTGAGGCACAAAGTCCTTAAGTTTTGTATTTTGTATATAAGTCTTACAGAGTTCAACTGTCTGCACACATATCAACTGCATAACAAAGCATTTGAACTGTGAACTCGATAGGTGAGCGCGGAGATCCGAATCTGTGAGTTGGTCGGTGCCTTATTATACAATCCCGAAAGCGTCGCATGCTCTCTTCTATCCATGTAAAAGTTGTAGTTGTGCTCCACTATGCATTTTCGCTGGACCACCCAAGTAAACACAAAATTTTGTCCTGTGATTATAAATACGACCAGGCCATTTCATCGCGCTAAGGATGTTCTAATAAATCCAAATTCGCAAAGCCCATTTTGAATTGTGTTCCTCCTGCCTTGGAGATTTTAGCACTTGTTTGACGTAGATTGCGTGTATGTAGCAGTTAGAGGTATCCTGAGACACCGATTGGATCAAATACCGGTTCGATCCAGTGCTCTAGGCTCACCAAGTCCATCTTCCGAGGCCCGCAAATTGGTATCAAACTTGGTGGTGAGAATAACAACGCTGAGTTGATACATCGGTAGGCCACTGCAAGTTATTGTACAAATATGTAATTAATCACTTATACGGTAGTTGATAAAGTGGAATACATTGCGCTTCCCTCAGGGATTGATCAACGTCGAAGGTTTTGCGCTTCATGTGTGACCTCTAACGACAATGTGGGTCACATATTTTGTCAAAACGACTGTGTACGAGGTTTTCCAATAGTTAGCAATGGTATCAAGATATATGGAAAACAAACTTTGTTTACCCTTTGCTTTCATCCATATTTCATGACAGGATCTTATTTTCGCAGATAGTAAAGTCTAAGTGGAATATACCAGCCCTCCTATTCACTGAGTCCTGCTAGAAGGTTACATAAAATTCCAAAGGTTTTCAGCTTCATAAAGGGCTTGAACATTGGCATTTGAGATAACCTTTATGCTGTGCAGATAATGAAAATGTCCCCGTTGCTCACAGTGCATCTATTACCCACGAAATCCATGGAAAACTAACACTAGATTTGATTGATGCTTGATCAGTTGCCTCAATGCCTAAAATTGTACAGCGTAATACCCACTGCGTAGCAAGGCGAAGATTTGCCACCATGTGACTAGTTTGATACCACGACGGTGGTGGACCATGGTATTGGTTTACTCTTAGGTGGGCCTCTGATGGAAACGCCGTACTCCTTCTCAGCTTGGGAGAGTGCTGAGAGATGAATCTAAATTGCAGCCGGACACCAAGTAGCGCCTCTCAGCCACGATGAGGCGGTGAACTATTGCGAGAATAAGCAGTACTATAAGGAGAAATATAAAAAGCAGAAGTTGTCGTCAGTTCGATGTTGTAATAATTTTCATTGTCTTATCAACAAAATTCGCATAAAAATCTATAAAATCAAACCGGAAAGAAGAACATATAGAGATAGAAAAAGTAAGTGAACTAAGTAAGTAAACTAACTTTTCTCGCTTCGACTGAATAAATGCTTCATTATATAGCAATTCATCAAGCATGGTCCGTTTCCTCTCCTTTTTAGTCATACGGCCGGAATAGAAGTCTTCAGGGGCATCGACAACTCGGCCAACCTTAAGATACGAATGAAAGTATTTGTCACATGGAATTTATAGAGATAATTGTTCCTTTCACAGGAGCTAGTTCTAATAAATTAAACACCGGCTGAAGTTTATGCGATCGCGGCAAGACAAAATCTGTGCTTCATTATACATATGTTTCTGTCCCCTTTGCATTAATAATATCATAACTGGACCAAGAAAACTATGAAATCAAAGTAGTCTGTACGCCAACGTGTAAGAGAGTCAACAAACTTGGAAATATTTCGGAAGAACAGAGCGATCGTTTCGGCGATAAAACGCAAGGGGATCAATGGCAGCTCGCATTTGAAGTAGTTCCAAATCAGCTTTGGTCTCATCAGTTAGTTCAGGGGCAGGAAGATCGAACCAATCACGTCCTTTTGTCTTTTCTCGTTCCAGCTGCAAAAATAATTCTGTATGTCACTTAGCTATCAAATGCATTGTAAAGGATTCACGTTTATAGCAGCAATGGATAGAGGGATTGGTGGGTCCGGATCGCAGAGATAGGTCCCACGCACGCGTGTTGCAGGGTACCTCTGACCACTGCGCCACACGTGCCCTACGTGCATTAGGTGTATGCATTTATATATATATATATATATATGTATATACACAATACATGTATATATATGTATATACGTATATATATGTACGTATGTATGTATGTATGTATATATATATATGTAATAGGGAGCATGTGGCGCAGTGGTTGAAGGGGCCAGTGCGAGCCACATGTGGAATCGATCCCGCACCCATGGCCCACCAAGCCTTCCATTCCTCCGGGGTCGGCAAATTGGTACCAGACTTGTCTCGGAGCATAGTAGTACTGGTTCGGTACATCGGTAGGCAACCCCGAGTCATTGTAAAGGCCAGATATGCATTCAGTCACTTCCAACGACACTTTATCAAGTCGAATGCATGGCGCATCCCTTAGGGATCAACGCCGAGAGCTTTATCCTTTATGAGTTGTATATATATAACATTCGGTTTAGTTAAATCTATTCGGGTCAAAACGCCAAAAACTATTTAATGTACATTAGTGATAAAAGATAGAACATCGAAAAAGGATGGTGTCCAGAAAAATAACTTCTTATATTGCTTAACTCAACTAAAAACTCAATATGACCATAACCAAAAGTAGTTTTCCACAACGGCTCATAAGAAACGTTGAATTTTTCGAGAACTCACCTTCCGCAGCCTTTTCGCAGCCCTATTTCCAATGAGCTTTGCAGTTCCAGCGTAGTTTTTCTCGAATGAAGGTCCACAAACTGCCTTATCTAACAACTAAAAGAACAATTGTGGTTGTGAAAGTGAAAACTGAACGAAAACGCATCAATTCAAAAGTGAAAAACGAAAGGAAGAAAAAGGAAACGGAAAAACTCATAACCTTTTGAATACTTTCATCCACGAGTACTAGGTCGGGCTTCTTTGCGACTGTTGGTGTATCCACAACATCATCTGCTTCGGGAACTGTAGATTGTGAACACGACTCTTTATTGTTTCCAGTGTTATCCAAAACAAAGAAATCACCGAGGACAACTTTCGACTAAAGAACACCACTCATAAATCCCTGTTGTACAGGCGGCAAAAACCCTAAGGCAAAAAAACCTACTTTCTCTTTTCTCCAAGGAATTTTGAAATCCGTGGATACAACTGGTAACTTATCAGCCGGTTCCCTGTCACTTTCATCGTCGGAGTCGCTTGTCGGTGGTTTTGAGTTTGGTTTTCTGATTAGAGGCCTCTTTTTGAGCGATAACATCCTGGATTCTCTACGTTGTATACGAGGAGACGTGGAGAAAAAGAAAGAAAGAAAGAAAAATAGAGCAGAGGAAAAAATATCAAGTTAGATTAGGTTACAAAGAAACCCGAAGACTAACTTAGCTACACAGCGGACACGATTTAAAAGATGCGAACTCTCATAAAAACACTACTCAGCTCATTACTGCTATCCGTCGAAAATTGAGCATTAAAAGGGTAAAGGATAAGGCTCTACGGCGTTGATAAATCCCTGAGGGACGCGCCACGCATTCAACTTCATCGGGCATCGTTAGAGGTGATTGCATACCTGGCCTTTACAATGACTCGCGGTGGCCTACCGATGTATTGAGCCGGTGCTGCTAACCTCCAATACAAGTCTAGTACTAATCAGCCGATTGCAGGGCTCCTCTGACCACTGCGCCACACACGCCTCATAGATAAACATTAGAGACAAAATTCTACTATCTCCGGGAATAAATACAGCTAAACGTACAACAGCTACTAAGGAGTAAATATAACTTGCTACTACCTGTTTGCCAACTGACTTACTATAGAGTACGCTTACTGTGAAAACAATACTTTAAGATCCCATGACCTTGACGGATGTGAATGAAATTTCAACGGCAGTAAACATGCTATACTCAGTTTATTCTTTCATCGCCTATATTTTGTACAGATGTAAATCATTCAACTTCAAAGACATTAGGCGGCTTTCGTATGCATGCAATCACAGCCACAGCAAAATCGGCAACGCCACGAAGAACAGGAAACGACTTCACATAAACCATTACTGTAAGAATATCACTAGAAATAGACGAAAGTTATTCACAATTAAACATTTACAAGTAGCAACATGGCATGAGGCCAAATCGTTTGCTGGGCACTAATTTAGCCGTAGAAGTATGATTTGCAGATGGCACACAATACTTGACGAGTGTGAATCCTGTTGGCTATGTGTGCATGACTTTATAGTTCGTACATGCTTAGATACTTGAATGGCCGTATTCAATGGATGTGCGGGTCGTAGCATAATTTCCGTTTTTTCGGAGTTTTGCTGGTTTAGCACTCGTGGCTTTCTGGAATCCTGAAGTCCGCCTACTCAAAGCCTGCTCCAGATCGTCACCACTACGGGCAATCGCCGCCCCTGTGGATCAAAGGAAGATTCCAAGACGGTGGTGGATCTTGGTATTGGTTTACTCTTAGCTAGGCTTCCGGATGGAAACGTGGAACTCCTTCTCAGTATGGGAGACCCTGGTGGAGGATGGAACCTCCGCTGTACATCCCAGCCCGATACCCAGGAAATCCTCCCAGCCACGATGAGGCAGTAAACCGTTGGGAAGTGTAATATATATGTGTATGTATGTATACATATAGATACATGTGTATATACATATAGATACATGTACATATGTTTGTTTATATGTAAGTATTTATGGATAATGGAAATGTCTGTTGGAGAGACTAACTCATATTAGCATGTAAGAGTAACTATGCTTATGACCAAGATATTCCACAAATTTGGTTTGATCTCTTCCAGCTGTCTTTAGTTATATTTTCCAAGCAGTGACCCTATGATAAGTGCCAAACAGAACAATAAAGGATGCATTTTTTGGTTCGGACGGAAGCAAATGATTTTTTAAAAAAAAAGTCTCAAGTACTCTGCTCAAACAAGAACACGTTCGTTTTCTGTCTATATTTGATCTTTATGTTAAAATTACGTGAGTGTCATCGCCTGGGAAATTATTGCCCCTTTCACGGCAAAGCGGGGTTTTCGCTAACTGACGATGATTCCTCGACCCGTAGAGGATCTCTGGAGTTAAGTAGTTCTGAGATTTGTAGCAGAGACTACTCTATCGCTTTAATTGCATACACAGTTTTCATACGGTGTTTTTCAAATATAAGTATGTTTAGGATTGAAACTTTGAAAAATTGGTAAGTGAACCGCAATTTTTTAGAAAGCATTCCATAGAGGAATGGCAATGGTGAAAAGATGCAGTGGACTGGGGCACACCAACGTATCCTACTGGACGGAATTCTGGTTGTTAATTTAATTTCACGTTCAAAATATATGGTTTTAGGCTATGGAGTGGGGAAAGTATTGCATACGTCACATGGTCCAGCACATCAGCACTTCATCCTGGTAAAATAAGAGGGCCTTTATTTATACGGTCTTATAAACTGATCTTCTTTAGCTGATGCGAGGTTGGTATAGGTCTTCGTTGTCGTTGTCGTCGCTGTTGGTGTTGTTGGTCGATGGCTGACGTTTCGGTAATTTCGCCTTCCTCAGAGCCTGGACGTATTTTACATTAGAATACTTTAATTATTCGGTGGAAAAAGACTAAAGTATTAATGAAGATCAAACTTTTGAATAGGCGCCACATTGAACAGAAAGGCCACTCACCGTGATGTTACGTGTGGGACTGGCCCACGCGTTGTTCAAGTGGGGTAGCGAGCAAGGCAAACCCCTGGGTGAAAATATCATTTTGAAATAGGGCGCCAGGTTACGTGTGATAATGAGGAATTCATCTTTCCGGTTCATCTTTGGTTTTTTGAAATTTATCCAAAACGCCTCAAGAGTTTTGCGCGTTGATGTTTTCGATTCCTGCGCTAGGATCTTTTTTTTCTTTTTTCCACCGAATCATTAAAGTATTCTTATATAAAATACGTCCAAGCTCTGAGGAAGGCGAGATCGCCGAAACCTCAGCCATCGACCCAACACCATCGACAACGACAACGACAACGAGGACCTATACCAACCTCGCATCAGCTAAAGAAGATCAGTTTATAAGACCATATAAATGAATATATCGACTATCTATGCCCTGGTTTATAGAAAGTCGGTCTTTTGAGCTATTGAGGACTTTTATTCTGTAGACGAAATTTTATACATTCTAGTGGTTTTCACTGCGTGTGTTCTAAATGTTGAGGTTACACTTGGTAGATAAATTCACTTTGCTTGGCTCATGTTTCCACTTCTTCCTCTTCATCAGAGCCGATGGTACGTGTCGGCGGTCCACTTCAATTTTATTCCAATGAATAAGATTCACTGCTAGCTGAGATAGGTCAATTTAAAGTTGGAACGACCATCATTTTCGAATCGTGCGACTCCTATGGATATCACATAGTTGTTCGAGGGTTAATAAATGAAAAACTCAGTTTGATATCCGCGAATGTTTGGAGGAGTAAATTGCGAACTATAATTCCGTTACAAGTGCCAATATCCAACTCGATTGGAGCTTTAGTTAGCCTACCCACTTGCGCGCGAGTTGGTTGTGTAGTTCAGAGTCCATAGAGAATCGTCAACGACTTCACTACCAGAACTGCCGACTAAATGCTTCATAGATAACAGACCATGTAGTATTCTGAGTTGGTCAATCCCTGTGCTATGAGCCATGTGTTATCGCCGAAGGGAATAAATGAATCTTCGACCTATACCTCAAGGCAATGTTTTTAGTCCCAAGATCGACTTTCTATTAACTTCGGCATTGGACTATAAATGTCTCGTTCTCTTTTTCAGCAATCGCGAGGTTGTTATTCAGCACAAGTTCAATTCCTTACACAGAGCACATACAACACAACGGTAGCTGACGTTTCGGCAGTATAGCCTTCAACGTTGCTGAGATATTTGCAAAACTCTGGACCGCAGGTGTCTATGGTGAGGAACGAACGCGCTATTGTCCTTTCCGGGGAGTAACGCGTTCACCGCCACACCATGCGGGTCCTTTGTTTTTTTGTTTCGCCTGTCTCTCGATGTCTCGCCTGTCGATAAAAAAGATCGATAGAAATAGCTGAGATGTCTCGCCTGTCGATAAAAAAGATCGATAGAAACAGCTGAGAGACAGGCGAAACAAAGGACCCGCATGGTGTGGTGGTGAACGCGTTACTCCCCAGTAAGGACAATAGCGCGTTCGTTCTCCACTATAGACACCTGCGGTCCAGAGTTTTGCAAATATCTCAGCAACGTTGTGGTTGTATTTCGCTTAGTACCCTGCCGCAAAATTATAGTAGGCAGAAAATAAAAAGGTATAACAGTATCGCCTTCTTGAGAGCCTGGAAGGGTACACTAATACGCAACTTACTAGGTCAAATGCTTCAACAGCACAAACAGAAAAATGAAAATCTGAACGATAATTATACGGTCACCGGCTTCTCGAAAAACATTGTTTCTTACCTGGCTTCCACCGAGGAAAAATAGCCGCTCAGAATCCCACACGGTTGACGACTGCATCACCCCACATCAAAAATCAATTCTGAGATACGGGGCTGGATCACTTGTTATTTCTGGTCTTTCTTTCCTGCTATTTATTTATGGATTATTGGCATTTATCCAAAACCCTCGAGAAGCTTGCCCATTGGTGTTTTGGGATCGAGTATAGCGCCCTTTATATCAAAATCGTCTCCGGTATGCTTTTGTATCCCTAGTGGCGTGCCTTGTCTTACTTTTTGTTTACTATTTAGGTGCTCTTCTATACGGATACATATTGGTCTGCCCGCTTCGCGCTTCGCCAATATATTTATCTCCGCAA